TTAAATGTAGATCGCATTAAAATTAATAATATAATTATATAATTGCTATTTACAATTAATTAGTCGTGCTATCGGAATTAGAAAAAAAAACAAATTTGTATTTTTTCAATGAAATAAAACACGGTTTTTTCCTAATGTTTTTTTCTATTAGAAAAAAACGTTTTTTTACATCTCTAAGTGAGTCATCTCTTCGTGGCAAATTAACGACATGGAAAATCATACCTGGATATTCCTCGGGGCGGGTGAGAGGTTGATTCTAACAGATACATTCCGGCCGGTGTGCGTCGAGCGAGCCAAAATCGACACCGTGGAATTACTCGGTGCCCGATGTCGTGCTTTCGACGCTACACGCAGTATTGCACCCACGTTCGGTAGATATAACGTCGACGATAATTTCGCACAAATTGTTTGTAAGTTAAGTAGTTTGTATCGCGCAATTGTGCAGTTGTCCTTGCACTTGCACACGGGCTCGCGTGTATATTATGTACATACGATAAGAGACAAGTACAGGCGACTTTATAATTGAGAAACTTATCGCCGCGAGCCGCGGCCTCTTACATAGGACCTATTATGTAGGACGTTGATATCGGATCCAAGGGTAAGATCCAGGGTTGGGTAGTGCCTAGTTAAAAAGATAAAAGTTAAGTTAAAAAGTTAAATAATTTTAATTTAACTTAAACTTGTTAGTTACATTTTAGGCTCTTAACTTTTAACTTTTGATCCAACTTTCTTGAAGTTACATTTTTAGTGCTTCTTGTAAACCCAAAATAAAATACATGTCTAAGTTAGTGTCTTCAAACTCAATTTTGAGAACACACATCAAGGCAATTGTAATATAATAAATATATAGTCTGGCCGCGGGAAGGAATCACTGTTCGCGGAACTTCTGTGCATTAAATCACATTGGAAGAGAAGTCCTTTGAAATCGGTCCTCTTTCCGCGGCTCGACAGAAATAAGTATGACAAATATATATTTTATTTAGAAACCCTAAAATTATAAAATGAAAAAATTTAACTTTAACTTTTCAATTACTTTTTTTTTATTAGCTTAACTTTTAACTCAATTAATTTTATTATAGTCTAACTTGTATCTTAACTAAGTTAAATTTTTAGATTGTTAACTTTAACTTAACTTAATTTAAAAAAAATTAATTTACCCAACCCTGGTGAGATCTCCTATAATCAAAAGACACGATTGTGTTTCGGCGCTAAAGAGTATGCGTGAGACCGGGTCTATTTACACATTCCGCCGAATTGCAAGCACCCGAGATTTCGGATCTCAATAACGGTTGAACCGCGATCAACCTCTAAGTAGTCCAAATCGATAGTTTGCAGATTTGAATTGCATAATAAAAATTTTATTTTCCTTCTGCGTGCGAAAATATTGCGAAGACGCAAAGTCTAAATTTGGAAACTTTACTTTAAAAAATGTCACAATTATATCATGTCAATTATAATGACACAAGATGACTTCAAAAAAAAAATTGTTCCAAATTAAAATTTAAATAAAAAATTTTTGGAAAAACACATTTGGCATTGTAGATCTCGAAATATAACGTAGTAAAATCACAAATGAATAGTTTAGAGATGGAAAAGAGAAAAGAATTTAATTAATTAATATGCGGAACCCAAAATAAATATAAACTATGTTTACAGTTATGACAAATCGACAAATTAATAACATATCATATTTATACACTGCTCAATAAAATTATAGTATAAAAAATTTTGGGCAAAAATTGGCCAACTTGGCTGACGATAACTCCGCAAAAAATCATCGTAGGATAATGAACTTTTTTTTAAATTAAAGCTTAAAATCTCTACTTTAAGGTACTATGGATTGATTTTATATATAATGCACCTCTGCTACTGTCAACTCTTATATCTGAGAACATGTTTGCCATAATGAAAATTGCAAAGTGTGACAGAATGCACGGACTTGCTAAAATTTTTCTCTGAGTTGCCGTTTGTAGCGTCATAAAATTCGAACCTTTCTCTTTAATTTGAAAAAAAATGCAAGTCGCTGCGATTTTTTTCACAAAGTTACATTTTAAAGTAACCCACTCAGCTGTTCGGTAACATAAAAATGCATGGTATACATGGTGATAAAGCATAAGCACAGAAACAAATACTCGAGGCAAGTAGGCTCTTTGGCGAAATGAGAGCATAACGCTTGAAATTTCAGAAATATTAAATTATTAAATTGTTGCAGTTTTCATAATGTTTTTGTATCGAGCAAATTAATAATACATAGAACATAGTACTGTACGCAATAGATTAATACAAATAAAAATCTCTAAACGATTACTGTAAGCTGCACGCGCAGATAAGGAAAGAGTAACGTCCGTCGTTAGGACTTAAATTTACACATACAATGATAAAAGGGAGCAAGCTCTCGAAAGTTAAGTTAAACGACCGATCGCGAGAGAATGTAACGATCGACTGGTAAACATTGACGCGCAAGGACGTATTCTCGTGTATAATATATACTTGAATAAAACTTAGGCTCTGTGACCGGACTCAAAGATTTAAATATATAGATATTACCATCCGCGCCGATCCTAATTAATCAATCCAGCACTAATCAATCTGTAATAATAGTCGGACAAGCATAGAATTAAAATATCCTAGACCTAGTTTCTTTAACAGCACGTTAAACGTTATAGTGGACAAATAATCGTTGAGCATCCTTTGTGGCAATTTGATTAAAAATGGTCACAATTTTTGCTTGGTAATGATCGTACATTTCAGTATAGACGCCATATCGGAGATCGTCTTGTTCAGTATTTCGGATGTCTCGTCATCGTTGAAGAGGCCTGTCACATGAAGCTGCAAAGGGAGAGAACATTTTTTTGGAAATTTAGAAAACCGAAAATAAATATAATAACAGAAAATTAATTAGGATTACATTCCGCACAATTAAAATAATTGAGAAATGGGAGACGTTAAAAAATGTCTTGAATCTAGCATCTCTACCTCTATTAAACTTCCATTCGGGTCCTTGCATACTTAAATGTTGTGATTTTTTCAATTAAAATAAATAGTTTTTAAAAATGTGGACAAAATTAAATCATTTTTTCTTTATGGAAATTTTATGATTTTTTAAATAATTTTATGATCAAACTGATCGAGAAATGAGAGACGTTATGACATGAATTAGCTTCTGTTAGATATTTGACTTTTTGTCGTTTTCATGTTTTTTAAGAACTCTCTTACTATAATACCTACTTTGATTCGCAAATTTCGAGATATCTTGTATAAGAACCATTGAAAGAATTTTTTAAAATTATGCATAATATATATTTTGATTGCAGAAATGTGTTATCTAAAGATTCTTAAGTCATTTATTTTATATTCGACGTTATACTTTTGCAATCGTTAGATGCGATTAAGTCTTACGCAATTAAATAAAAATAACTTTCAATGCAGCAAATACTTTTTTTTATAATATAAAACTTATTTTTGAATTTTGTTCTGAGAAAAGAATATTTAATGAAAAACAAACTTTACCAGCAAGATTACTAAGTGATCAATTATATAGAATATTCAGAAAAAATAAATGCTCAATCTGCGAATTACGTATAAAAAGAATATGTCATTTAAGCGTTAGCTTTATTATTTATACGTCATTGTAATTCAATATCTCATTTATTATTACAATCCCGTTGACACACGCATGCGCGAGCGCGCGGGCACGCACTCTCCCTCTTCTTCCCCCTCTCTCACTCGCCCACTCATCTTCCTTCTCTCTTACATAATTCTCTTAGATGATATCATGAAGCTGCAACGAGCTATTTAACAAATAATTCTATCTCAGTACGGGCAGTCATATACGAGAATTTCAAACGAGCAGATTGTTTTGATACACAAAATACACATCAATTAATATATTGTACACTCAACATACTGAATTACACAATCCAAAAGTGCCTCGTGTAACTACGAACAGTGATATTATAACAAACGGGTGCTTAACTTTATCTAGAAGTAATCAGATATTCTGATTAAACGTCCATCATGGAGTACTGGACGATAGCCTTATCGATATTAGCCGGCATATTCGCGATTTATTACTACTCGTCTCGCAAAAATTCGAATGTGTTTCGCCAGCACGGAATTCCACATGCAAAACAATATTCATTGATAGAAGATCTTTGGAAAATTTTTGTGCGTCCAAAGAGCTTTGCCGATGCAATTAAAGAAATATACAATTTACATTCCGACGCTAAATACGTTGGTGCCTTTCAGCTCACGAAATCGTTCGTGATGATCCGCGATCCTGAACTGATCAAATTCGTCGGTATCAAAAATTTCGACGCCTTTCACGATCACGTTTTCTTCGGCAATGAAACTCAGGATCCTCTCTTCGGGATGAACTTGTTCGCTCTTCGTGGCGACAAGTGGCGCGACATCAGAGGGCTTCTGAGTCCCGCTTTCACAGCTAGCAAAATGAAGGCCATGTGTCAGTTAATATCCGAGTGCGCTGTGAATTTTTCAGAGTACTTGACGAACGTGCCGTCGGACGAGCGCGTCATGGAAATGAAAGAAATATTCTCGAGGTATGCCAACGACGTGATCGCTAGCTGCGCCTTCGGCATTAACGTGGACTCGATGAGGAACCCGACGAACGAATTCTACACTTTTGGCAAAAAAGCGACGAACTTCGACGTAATCGCTCTTATAAAAATTCTGATGTACCAGCACATGCCAACGCTCATACGTCTGTTGAATCTCAAGTTACTAGACGATCGTACTAACGAATTTTTTATAAATCTAGTAGCCGACACTATGAGGCTCAGAGAAGAGAAAGGTGTCACACGCCCGGACGTGATCCAGCTGCTGATGGAGAGCAAAGGTAAAAGAGAACCGGGAAGAGAGTTGTCCATCGTAAACATGACGTCGCAGGCGTTTATCTTTTTCCTCGCTGGTTTCGAGACCAGCTCGACCCTGATGAGCTTCGCGGCGCACGAAATCGCTGTAAATCCAGACGTTCAAGAAAAGCTGCAGAAGGAGATCGACAAGGTTATGGAAGAGACGAATGGCCAACCGTCTTACGAGGCAATCAATGAAATGAAGTATCTGAACGCTGTGATCAGTGAGTCGCTCAGAAAGTATCCGGTACAACCAATGACAGACAGATTGTGTGTGAAGGATTTCGAGCTGCCCGCTGCATTGCCGGATGCAAAACCGTATCTTGTGAAGAAGGGAACGTTAGTTTGGATCCCATTTTATGGGCTTCAACATGATCCTAAATACTTTTCAGAGCCGGATAAATTCAAGCCTGAGAGATTCCTCGGTGAGGCTGAAGGAGAGTGTAATCTTGACGCTTACTATCCGTTTGGATTAGGCCCGAGGATGTGCATCGGCAATAGGTTCGCGTTACTGGAGACGAGAATTTTATTTTTTCATCTTCTGGCTCGTTGCCAGTTAAAGCCGTGCGAGAAGACCTCGACATCTGTAAAGTTACAGAAGGGCGGATTTTCAATGCGGATCGAAGGCGGTTTCTGGTTGAGTGTCGTACCGAGAGAGAACAGGCACCCTGCGATTCAGAACAGAAACTAAACGTATTGGTTTAAATTACAATGTAAAGACATGAACGCAATTGAATAATAAAAGCATTCGAAACGTAAGAATTTATATGAGACTGCGAATAAAGAATAGATAAATAAAGAATACAATATTATTTTATCACAAGATCAATCACAAATAAATTTTACATTATATTGCAGTGTATATTATATATACAGTATGCAATATGTAAACAATATATGTTATATTATTATGTATATATATTATATAGATTTGTATACAATTTAATAGAAAAAATTATACAAAATGATATAAAAGTATATGCAAATTTACAAAGTTATCTGCAGTGATTGTACGAATTAGTTTATCAATGCGGACAGTTTTGATCAATAGGGTCTTTTATCCATTGCCACAATGTCTTTATTGCCATTACGACTGGCCATGGTCAAAGTTATGAGGGACAATCTAACGCAATTTTATTATTCAATCTTATAATTTCCTAATAAATTAATTCATGCTGTTAATCAATATGAATGATCAAAATATGAACCTTACATATCGTTAATAAAAGGCATAGATAATGTGATATTTAAAAATGTTAAGTAAACAATAACTGTCATCGAACAAAATGTACATACCTTTGTCTTAATTATTTAAAAATTTATCGTGCCAACAACAACGGACATACTTGTGATCAATGTGATCATCCTTATTTACTTACATAAGTGATGACGTGTATCGAACGCTATATTAGGGCTGCATTCCGTTGTAACGCTTACGCGCTACAAGCATGATTTGTCCTTGTTTAATGTTTGATAAATAATAAGGATAAAATGATTCTGTGAGCGCTGTAAGCGCCAAAAGCGTGAAAATTGAACGCAGTCTAGATTATGCTAATGCAACAGTAGGTATAGGTCGAATTAGCTTTTAATGAATAACGTTGTACTTTGGGATCACTTTCGTTAACAACACAATATAAAAGCATTTAATAAATAAATAAATATAAATAAGAAAATTACAATAAATGAAACATTTAATTTCAATTTCAACAAAATTATATGATATACATATGATTATATATTATATATTATATTTAGTAAAATAGTGGTGATATATATGTATAATAGTGAGCAAAAAAATTCATGATTAAAATTTTTTATCATATTTTATTTTCTATAAATAGAAGATATCGGTGCTTTCTCTTATATTATTCAGAAACACTTAACTTATGCATATTAAGATTTTATTATTAAAGGAACAAAATGAAAAGGTATATAAAATAAAATGAAAAAATTATAATTAAAATAAATTTGATGTATCTGGCAAAGAAGCTATTGTGTTTTAATATTACTTTAATAAAGTTAAATATATTTAAAGCTTGCCCTGACACAATTAATAAATTTATTTGTCAGAAAATAGCAAATGTCTTTTAAAATCTCATAAAAACCATTATTTAAAACCAAGAATATAATAATAGTGTACCGTCCTGACAATGCAATTGATGATTGCAAGAGTCAAAAGAGCAAAGCAGAAATGATTATACCTATATAGATATGGCACAAGCAATCAGGTTTTTTTTGGTGATTTCAGTACCGTTTTGTTGCTCGTGAAACTGCGATAAACTAGAACACGAAAAATTTCATAGAGATTAATTCAATTTTGGAAGAAACGAATAAAAACAAGCATCTTATGAAGCAGTTAACAAATCAACAGTATACATATATATGGAATATTTATATTTTGATTAACAAAACTCTCAAAGCGAACTATAAAAGTAATGGATACATTGCGTAAAGACTTCAAACTACCTCTAGCTTTACCAAAATTAAAACAATTTAAGATAGAACAAAACATACGGATACGGTTTATAAACTTTAACATTATTTTATTAATTAAGTATCAGGAAAGACCGTGGAATGTTGACAACAATTGAGCTCGAAAAACGCCAACACGGTATAAAGCGGATATCTTGGTGCTTCCATATAATATTAGTGCGAATCTTACAATTTTCGGTTCATATAACACCACGTGGCCGCAAATCGCGTGCTTCTCCGCAGCTCCAAACCGAGTAGTATGTAATATCAAAATTAAATTGCCGAAGACAATCTAATAAATCGATGCTCAAAGCATCGATTTTAAATCCTACTTGATGCTCATTTACATCTAATAAATCCCCCCTCCCTCGCGACGTCAAATAAATGCTAACTTGTATCTATACGAACCGTTCTTATCGCATCTGTAAAGAAATTTATTGCAAAAAAGTATCACCCCACGTTCTCATGGGAAATGTTATCACATGCCTCGGTGGTCCAAAAGCAGGACGCCCGTCCGGCAAACGTGGAGATCCCTGTGGCTCGATTCCTGGCTGAGAACATGGGGTGATATTTTTTTGCAATAAATTTCTTTACAGATTCGGTGAGAACGATTCATATAGATGCAAGTTAGCATTTATTTGACGTCGCGAGGGAGGGGGGATTTATTAGATGCAAGTGAGCGTCAAGTAGGATTTAAAATAGATGCCTTGAGTATCGATTTATTAGATTGCCTTCGGCAATTTAATTACATACTACTACATGATATTACATACTATTCGGTTCGGAGCTGCGGAGAAGCACGCGATTTGCAGCCACGTGGTGTGAATCGTTAAATGAACCGAAAATTGTAAAATTCACACTAATATTATATGGAAACATCAAGATCCGCTTTGTACTGTGTTGGCGTTTTTCGACCTCAATTATTCAATTATTTTAAGGAATCGAAGAAATGTTCTATGCCTTAATAATTTCTTGATGAACGTAAGAAGAATATTATCAACTGCGGAGTTTCTATCTTCCCTTTGGTCTTACAATTAGTCATAGAATGCGTTCAAGGTTCGCGTTGCAGGAGACAAAGAGTCTACTCTTTCATTTATTGGCTCGTTGCAATCTGAAAACATGTGGCAAGATGGCAATATTACTCAAGATTGCTAATGACGATTTAAATATGAAACTTGAAGATAATTTCTGACTACAGGATACTTTTCTTTGATGTTACCAAGAAAAAATATGCGTCATACTTTTCTACCTAATTTTATCAATGGAACAAACCAAATGTAAGAAAATGTTTATATTTTTTTATAATTTCTTAAAAATTTAAAAATAAAAGACATTTTAATATAGAAAAATAAATTTCTGCTATTTTATTAATTAATAACGTCCCAACATAACATTGATCTAAAGAAAAATAAATTTTAATTTGTAATTTTGTAAATTTGAAAATTCGCTCAAATTTCTTAAAATACGTAACAATTTTAAAATTTGATATTTTTGATATAAGAAAATAAAATATGATTTACAAAAGTTCAGCCAAAATATAATTAAATGTTTTCATATAACATAATGTCGTTAAATAAAAATGAAATGGAAATAACAAAATCAAAATGTACACGAAATGAAACATTTCTTCTTTAATTATCCAACAAGAAGATATTTATATATATTACTGCAAATTTTAAAAAATACGGTATATTTGTATTAGAAACATTTTTATCCTTATATAGATAGATAGTCATCTTATCTCTTATACGTAGTAACATTTCTATACCTATTATACATATAAATAGTTATCTTATCTCTTATATGCTTCTCAACAACAAAAAGGAGAGTATAAAAGCAATTAATGAATTGAATATTATTTCATTTGTCATTGTGTTATTATTGATTATATTGAAATGCAAATTGTTTCTTTTGTGATGTAAATAACTTGTTATTATAGTAATTAATTATATTTCTCCACTGCGTCCCTGTGTAATTTTTGTAGCAAATATTATTTTCATAATTTTTTTACATTAAAAGTTAAAAACGTATTCAAACAAATTAAAAATAATTTAGACAAACAATTACATAAAGGAAACAAAAATGAATCTATGTACAAATATAAAAATAATATTTGAAAAAAATAACATTAGAATCGAAAAAGTCTATAGAAATTAATTAATTACAAGTCATTATCTTAATACAAAATGTTTTAATTGTTTTTTATAATTTATGTGTCTATATATAATGTATGTATAGCGTGATCAAAATTGATGATCACCTTCCGGCAGAACACTATAATGCATATCCGACACAATACTTCTTAGAAAGTGACAACCATAGTCTGGGAATAACTTTACGCATTACATAGTGTGCAACTGGTCCCTCCATATGACGCGTACTATATATAACAGAAAGATTAGTTATCGCAGCGCGGCAGTTGATAGCAGAGCGTCGTTGCAACTTGACGTGTTGTTGAAAATACAAAATTAATATTTAAACAGTATTATTTTTATAAATTTCCTTCTTTCGTGAATTCAGTTTGATTGCGTAAACAATTGTCAGTATGATATATGTGATCGTCTTGTCGGTGATAGCGGGTACTTTGGGTCTGTATTACTTCCTCTTCAAGAATTTGAATTTCTTCCAAAAACATGAAATACCGTGTGCAAAACCATTGCCATTACTGGGAAACATGGGATCGATTTTCCTCCGTCGTCAATCCATGGTCGATCTTATCAAGTCGACTTACGATTTACACCCTGACGCCAAGTACGTCGGCATATACGATTTGACGAAACCACTCGTAGTGCTTCGCGATCCCGAGCTTATTAAAGCTATCACACTGAAACATTTTGACATGTTCATGGATCATCGTCAGTTCATCGATGAGACCCAAGATCCGTTTTTCGGCAAGAATCTCGTCTCTCTTCGCGGCGAGAGGTGGCGGGAGACGCGATCTATACTGAGCCCGGCCTTCACGTCCAGTAAGATGAAAAGTATGTTCAAACTGATGTCGAATTACGGCATTGACTTCGCTAATTACTTGGCGCAATTACCATCCGAGAAGAGGACAATGGAAATGAAAGATATTTTCGCGAGATATACAAATGACGTGATCGCTTCCTGCGCCTTTGGCGTCTCTGTAGATTCCATGAGAAATCCGAAGAACGAATTTTATGTGTACGGTAAGGAAGTGACCGTTTTCAGAAGTCTTCTCTTTCTTAAGTTCTACATCTTTAGAACCTTACCTTGGCTGGCGCGAATACTTAAGTTGAAACTTCTTCGCGAGCAAATAGCGAATTTCTTCCGAGACATTATAAAGACTACGATAAGAACCAGAGAAGAAAAAGGTATTGTTCGACCAGACATGTTGCAGCTGATGATGGAGAGCAGAGGTAAAGACGGCAAGACGGATTTGACTATCGACGATATGATATCGCAAGCGTTCATTTTCTTCTTCGGCGGATTCGACAGCACCTCGACGTTAATGTGTTTTGCCGCTCATGAAATTGCAGTGAATCAGGATGTGCAGGAAAGGCTTCAAAGCGAGATCGATCAGGTTTTAGAAGAGAATAACGGACAAGCACCTTACGAGGCGATTAATAATATGGAATATCTTGAGGCGGTAATCGACGAGGCTCTCAGGATGTATCCAGTTGGTCCGGTATTGGACAGATTATGTGTGAGAGATTTCGAATTACCTTCGACATTACCAGGAATGAAGCCTCTTACTATAAGAAAGGGACAAGGCATATGGATACCGGTTTACGGACTTCATCATGATCCTAAATATTTCGAACAACCGGAGAAATTCGATCCTGAGCGATTTCTTGGCGAACGGAAGAAACACACGTTGAGCTCCGGAGCTTATCTTCCCTTTGGTCAAGGGCCCAGAATGTGCATAGGTAACAGATTCGCATTGCTGGAAACGAAAGCTTTACTGTTTCATCTGCTTGCACGTTGCGAATTGAAAACTTGCGAAAAGACGCCGTTGCCGCTCAAGATAGATAAAGGCGGCTTTAATTTGATGCCTAAAGGGGGTTTTTGGCTGCACGTAGAACCAAGGAAAAACATGCATCATACTGTTGAAATTAATAATGGGACACGTCCAGCGTAAGAAAATTTAATTACTTTCCTACTAAATAGCACATGACATTTTCGTGTCAAATACTAGGCGTATATGTACTAATATAGTGTAACTGATAAGAAAAATCGTTATCAGCAAGTCAATTCAATGATGCTTACTAATGACATTAATTCATATTATTATAAAATTTTGGTCTTACATTGTAATGTTTCATTTTACGCTATTGTCGAAATGTAAACTTTTCCATTAGATATTAATATATAGTTAGTTTTCTGTTTGGTCATATTTGTTGTATTACCGGATGTATTTATATTATTTGTCTTGCAATAACAATTGCAAACAAAGTTCTCCTCAATGATACTTAATAAGTATGCAATCGTGATTATTCAAAGTGTAAAATCATCATTAAGATATTAATTTAGATTTATTTCTCATTATTCAATATCAATCGCAACTGAATAATGATAAACAATTGTTACATCCTTGACATTATATATTATTTTTCTTAATTAAGTAATATAATATTAACTAAATAATTATATTATTATACTACTAGTTCTTTCTGATCATAGACTCCTTATACGAGCGACTAACAGAAAAGTATTTCAAATACCATTCCGCATATATAAAAAAAATTGCATATAACTTATATAGGATATAATTATTTTACTATAATAATCAATAACTTAATATTATTTTAAGATAAAATTTCTAGTTAGTAATTTTAATTTGTGTCTGGATACTCGTATAATATGTAATTTGTAATGTTAAAGGATTTTATATTAAATATTAATAATTATATTGAAATATAAAATAAACAGTTGTGATAAAAATTGAGATAAGTGGATTATTATAAATATATATAGTTATATATATTTAAGATTTATATTTGACTTTTAGGTAAAATGAAAAACAAGACAAAGGAAGAAGAAAGCAAGACATTCAGTATTCGACCTTGTGATGAGATATACACATATATGTATATACATATGCTGATTGCTCTTCTAATAAAAATAAATATTAATCAAATCATTATTTTAACATTTTTTACACTGTCTTTATTCAGTCACTTTGTTATAATATTCTCGTATCGAAAACATTTCTTGTACGTGATAAAAAAAGGAGTTATTATCTCTTGCTAAAAAAATACGGTAAGAATCAAAGGTTGAATGTTATCTTATTATCTTATCTGTTGTAATTATTGATTGATCTGTAATTAAAGAAAAACAGGATTTTTTTAATGTAATCAAATCGGTTCCACGTAAACAAACGCAAATTTACTTAAGGATGGGTCATCCGTATAGTCCATACAATAAGTTTGAGAGAGAAATTGTAAATGTGTTAATATATAAATTAATATAAATATAAATGTTTATATAAAATTAACATTCTGTTCTCGTTATCATTGATATCATTTTTTTTATTAGCGCAGCTGAATTAGACAAAGTGCATTTATATGTATACGCGGATCTCTAATACAGGTATCTCTAATACAATATAGACGTAAAAGGAATTTTTTTTAAACTTTAGTAAGAAAAGTTGAGCATATCATGAAATCATAATTTTTAACTTTACAAACTAAAAACTCTGCTATTATTAATTAATAATTCCTACATATAAGGATGCCTATTTAAAAAAAGCACGTCAATATTCCATTTATTTATATTAATTTTAATAAATTCGCTAATTATTTCTTTTCCCGATTTTCATTTTTCTCTTCCAGTTTTACGTCACATCATTAAAAGTCACGTGCGTTAGAGGTCCAGTAAACCCAACTCGTCGTACAGTGGAAGTCTCTTTATCATTATTTTTTTATAATCCTCGTTCTTTAAGCCTGGATTACCAGTGCTCACGATCTCATCCAAATTTTTCGCCTCTGTATTATAGCACTGCGCCATTGGTAAAACCGTAAAAGATGTTATCATTCCATAACCAGCCCTTTGCCTTAAGGTAGCCTTTAGCTCCTCCATGGTGGGCGGTTGCGTCTTGCAGTTCAGTTGCCTCATAGTTACCGACAACGTGCCAAGGTATTCACTTAACAAAATATCTTTCTTGTTTTCAATGACATCCAGGGAAGG